AATAAAGCAATGCCTGGCTTTGGGACACTAAAAACACAGTGTTAGAGGCCAAAACTTAAGAGTTTTAGTACTTTTCCCAAGCTGTGTTCTCACAAAAGTTGCTTATGGCTAACACACAACCTGTGATTAATTAAACATTTAAAAAATTAGAAAAGTTATATCATTCCCAGCACTTTCACAGTGTTCCCATCCCAGAAACTTTCCCCATGTCACCCCTCCCCATGCAGCACATTGCCTGTTTCCCTCACCCTTGGGAGGAACAGATGTTATATCCAAGCCAAAAATGTTTCTGGTGGCATCACAAACCCCTCTTCCCTCTCTCCCCTGCCCTTCCTGAAAATCCCAAACACGTGCAAAGGCCCAAAGACTCCAGGTCTTTGACCCAGAGGCCCAAAACAATGGTCGCTTTTCCATCATGGAAAAAAAATCCCACATCCTTGGGGCAAATTTTAGACCCTCTGTGCTCAAACAGGGGTGGGAAACTACCTGCTAAAAATGTGACTTGAGAGCCTCCTGAAATGCAAATTGTCCCCACACTCGTCCCTCGCTGTCCCCAACCACCTCCCTGTCCCTCCTGCCTCTCCCAAACAGCCACACTGCCAAAACTGATGAATTTTGGTATTTCTCCACCACAAAATGTTAAATTTCAGACCCTGTCAGCTCCCAGAGAGAGGGATGGCCGGGATGGCCAGGAGCAGAGCATGGCTCAGGGAAAACAGGATTCTCTGGTTGCCACACAACCCCTCCCTCCAGAACAACCCCTTCCCTCCAAAACTGCCCCCTCAAAGGCTTCCCACCCCTCATACACCCCCAAAGCCTCTCTCCATGACTTCCTGCCCTCCAGGTCACCCCAATCCTGCTTCCAGCCCCCTCCTCATCCCACCTAGGATGCTCTGCCCCCCTCACTTCTTCCAAGGTTTCCTCCCAAAAAACCCACCGCACCCCCAGGGTTTCTTCCACTCCTCCCTGTGTCCCTCCAGGGCTTCCTCCTCCCCCCCCAGTCTTCCTCAGCCCCTTCTTGTGCATCCCTAAGGAAACTTTTCAAGGTTTTTCTGCTCCCATACACACCCAGGGACCCTCCAAGCCCCTCATGAGCCCCCCCAGCCCAATCCCACCCTGGGCTTTTCCCTAAACCTTCCCCTAAGAGCCCTCCCAGGCCTAGTCATGGGCCTTCCTCAGCTCCTTGGGGGGCCTCTGAACCCCTCAAAACCTTCCTGAAAGCCCAGGACTCCCCTCAGGACCCCCCAGACCCCCTCCAGCTCCCCCACATCCTCCCCCAGCTCCCCCCACCCCAGGAAAGCCACAGAGCCTCCCCAAAAAACCCTTCCCTCCCTCAACCCCCTCACAGTCCAGCCCTCAAACCCTCCCCAAACGCTTTCCTCCCGCCCCGAAAACCTCTCACAGACCAAGTCCAAGTGCCCCCCCAGCCCCTCCCCACAGGCCCTTCACCTCCCCAAAGCCCCCCCAGCCCAATCCCACTCCAGGTTTCCCCCTAAACCTTCCCCTAAGAGCCCTCCCAGGCCTCGTCCTGGGCCTTCCTCCATTCCTGAGGGCTTCTGACCCCCCAAAACCTCCCCCAGAGCCCAGGACTCCCCTCAGGACCCCTCAGACCCCTCCCCACGACACCCTCCAGCTTCCCCCGCCCCAGGAACCCCCTCAGAGCCTCCCCAAAAAACCCATCCCGCCCTCAGCCCTCCAACCCTCCCCAAACGCTTCTCCCCCACCCCAAAACCTCTCATAGGCCGAGTCCAAGTGCCCCCACGGGCCTTTTCCTCCCACCCAAGCCGCCCAGGAGCCCCCCAGGGTTCCCCTCCGGCCCCGGGCACTCACAAGAGGAAGCTCATGGCGAGAGAGGCCGCGCTGGGCTGAGGGAGCGGGAACGGGATCAGGGAGAGAGGCCTGGATCAGGGAAACGGGAAGGGCTGAGGGAAGGGAACGGGATCAGGGAGCGGGAATGGGCTGAGGGAGCGGGAAGGGGCCGGGCTGAAGGAAGCGGGCTCTGCCTGGGGTCTGTTCAGTCCGGTCCGGGCTGAGGGAGCGGGGTCTGTCCGGGTTCTGTCCGATCGAAGGGACCGGTCTCTGTCCGGTCCGATCGAAGGGACTGGGCTCTGTCCGGTCTGTCCGGTCTCTGTCCGATCTAAGGGAGCGGGATCTGTCCGGTCTCTGTCCCGGCTCTGTCCGGTCTCTGTCCGGGTTGTGTCCTGGCTCTGTCCGGTCTCTGTCCCGGCTCTGTTCGGGTTGTGTCCGGGCTCTGTCCCAGCTCTGTCCGGTCTCTATCCCCGCTCCGTCCGCTCCGCTCTGAGGTAGCGGGGCCGCTCCCCGCGGGCCTCGCCCGGGCCGCGCCGCCAACTCTCGCGAGAGCTCCGCGAAGGGGCGGAGCCTCGCCCGCCGCCGTCACCATGGCAACGGCCCCACGCGCGGGGACACGGGCCTGGGGACCCCCGGGCCCTCCCCACGGGGATGGGGACCCTCCAGG